TCTTCCTCATCTTGCTCATCTGGCTCTTGCTCATCTTCCATCTCGTTCCTCTAGTCCTCTCTTCTACTCCTCCAGTCTAGTCCTCTCACGTCTCTGAGGTTTACAGTTATATACCCATGCAGTAGCAATGCTCTGGCTAAGGCAAGATCACCAAGCTTGAATTCTCTCAAGGTCAAAGGAAGAGCAATAAGATCCCCACAAAAGAACAGTAATTGTCAGAAATCAATCACAACCCAAAAGGGAAGTGGCTAATGGGGAATGAATCAACTAAGGGTTAAATTCAGCTAATAGATCTGAGAAAGAGAATGTATGTGCTCAAACCATATTCTTAGAAGTGGTTAGGTAAAGTGTTAGGAGTCTATCAGTGATGAGTGCAAATAAAATTGCCTTATTTTCCTTTGGCTCCTTATCTGTCCAAGTTACTTGGCTGCTGCCATTTTCTGTCAAGGTGGGGAAGTGCACTTGGTGGCTGGGCACCTGAGTCACAGCTTGATGTAGGTGTAAGTAGAATCCCTTTAGTTCTGAGTTAATAGTTAAAGGTAGATCTAAAACTAGAGATAAGACTTTGGAAAGGGGAAGGTTCAGCTTAATTAGCCCATTCACCTGGCCTGGGCAATTGTCAGTGTAGATCTTTACCTTTTCTGACAGACGGTCTATTTTTAAGAAGTCTGGGAAATTTTTCAGATAAGATACTTTCATCTGGAGAAGGTTCTGGCCAGATGTTGCTAATGACAATAGTCACAGAGAGGCCTGAAATTGGGTACCTGGCTGTGTTGCTGCTTTTAGCACAGTTGGGGAAGGTTGTCCAAATATTCCAATGGCATAGGGGAAAATTGTGCCCAATGAATGATCAACACACTGTTCTAGAAATGGAGAAGCTACAATATCACACAAGAAATTCATTGTAGGAAAAAGGCTAATATTCAAGAGCCAATATCACCAAGACTTCTTGAGTCTTGGCTTCATCCTCTGGAAATGCCCTTGGCTTCTTCCAGATATTAGCTTTTGCCATAGAAAGCTATTCTACTTCATATTTCTGCAGCTCCCAGCATGTATCTCTATCTCTATCTCTCTTCAATCTGAGGCCCCAGTACATGGGATGGTGCCACCCACATTTAGCGTGGGTCTTTCCACATTGCTTCACTCAACTGAAACTTCCTCACAGACATGCCCAGAGATTTCTCTCATAGGTGATTCTAGACCCTTTCAAACTGACGGTCAATATCAATCACCATGCAGGGCCCCATTATGTAGCCCAGGCTGGCCATGATGCATCTGCCTCAGTTTCCATGTGGATCAGACTAGCCTTAAACTCCCATAGAGCTGAGTGCTGGGTTAAATGCACATGCCACCATAGCTGGCTGCTTGTAGTTCTTGATGGACACTGTCTCAAACTCTGAGCCTTTGTGTGCGCCCTTTTCCAACATGCAGCACTTTCACACCTACTCCAGCCTTCCAAGCCCATTCATCCTTGGTGGCTTAGTCTAAAGTCTCTCCCTTAGGAAGCCTGCCCTCCCTTCTGGCCTTGCCTGATCCTGCAGGCTTTGTGGCTACACTTGACTATTTCCTGCTCTGTGCTCCTCCCTGACCTCAGACTGAGCCCATGAGGGCAGTTCACACGTGTTCACCACTGGATTCTCAGCAGCAACCAGATACTTTTCCACAGCACTTGTGAGTACTCAAGGCCGCTGTTTTCTGATCAGGCAAACAAGAGCTTTAACGAGCTGGGGCCCCTCCCATCCTATAGCTGCGGCCCCTCCCCACATTGTCCTCACAGGCAAAAAGGAAGTGGAATGGGACTCCATGACCCCATAAAGTGGTCAGTGGCACTTACCCAGAGACCGTGGAACTGGGTGCTGTGACAAGAGCATGGCCTT